TTTAACCAAAAATATGGCTTCTATCCATGTAAAATGTGCACAGTTTGCAAAAGAACAAAATCTAAGAGACACACACACTAAATTTATTTCTAATATATCCAAAAAGGAATATAAGATCAATTCTATCGTCACCTGCCACTCTAGTAATGTGATACCTCCTCTGGTGCCCTTGTGGACTCCAGTATGTGGGAATGACCACGAGAACATTAAAAACCTGCATGCTGGAACACTTGGGCAATATACAGAGGGGGTATGCCAAACACAGTGTCTCTGCACATTTCTTACAATGTCACAACAGTGATCCTTCACATGTCAATTTTATTGCCATTGCCCAAAAGAAAAAGGATTGGAGGGGTGAAGATAATTTCAAAGAACTCTGCAAAATTGAAAGTAGGTGGATATTCGAATTAAACACTTTATCCCCTAAGGGCTTGAATTTAGATTTTGAATTGGCTCACTTTTTATAATTAATTTTTTTTTTTTTTCTCACTCACCAATCCTATTCTATATTGGCTACATTTACATAACCTAGATGTTATGTATACCTTTAAGATACCACATACTATGTGCCCATATGTTGTTGTTTTTTATTAATACATATATATTCTTCTTTTTTCCCTTTGGTATGCAGCATTGCACTATTGTTGCTATTTGCACAAATAGTTATGTCTCTTTTCATGTTACAAATGACTACCTATATGTACACACTTTATAAGATATGAAAGGTGCCCATCTTTAATATGGAGCTCTTTGCTTCATTTGGGCAAATGTATTAACAAATCTATCTGAAACTGACATAAGGTATTATGTGTTTATAATGTTGTTTACCAACTAATTTTCTCTTTTATACATATCATTGTATGATTACTGCTATTTGTATAGACAATTATGTCACTTTTCTTAGTATAAATCATTGTTCCTGTATGCACTCTAATAATCATACAAGATGCCCATTCACTACATGGAGTTTTCAGCTTCAACTGGGCAAATGCATTGAATACAACCAAGCAGGAAAATGAGTGCCGAAATACCGGAAGTGAAGTCAGACGCCGGCCACCCGAACTTCCGCCTACGTGACCGGCAATTAGAATAAGCGGTGATTTTAAAACGGAACAGCAGCTGGATGTTTTATGCACTGATGAAAACTCGGACTGAGTTGAAACGCATCTGCATGACTGTGATTCTGTGTGTCACCATATGGGACCTGCACAGTTACTATTTTAATTTTTAATTTTTACTTACAATAAATTTATTATTTTTTATTCATCTTTCTGCTGCTGTTTTTTCCTACTTCTGGGGGATACTATTCAAGATTCTCCACAGAGCCTTCTGAGGCACCCTTGGGCATCATATACAGAGCCTGGCACGGCTCTGAAATTCGTGAGTGTATTGAATCACTTCCATATTTCCTTCTTTTGTATATACAGGCTATACTATGTACTATTTTTTTATCTTTATAGGTTTTTACATGGACCATCTCCTATATGTACCTGTACATGTATAAGTATTATTATTGCCTGTTTTGATACACAGGGAGTGGTGTGTGTATTTGGCACCTGTTGCTTTTAGTACCCTTTTCTATTACTTGAGAGAAAACTTGGCATTAAAAGCGCGGATCTTACGGCCTGCATGCAGGTCAGGAGCCGAAACCCAAGAACAATCAGCAGGACCGTAACCTTTACAATCCACCAAGTACTGTAAAGTGCCCCGAGAAAACCTAGAATCCACAATAGAAGATACCTCATACTCTTCCTGACCACCCACCACCACCGGAGGGGAGGAACATAAGGAACAGTATATTTATTGCAGACAAGAGGTTTGAGTAAGGACACATGAAAAGTGTTGGGAACCCCTAACAATGCAGGAAGATCCAGAGAGTAAGACACTGGATTGATCCTACGAAGCACTTTAAAGGGACCAAGGAATCTGGGTGCAAACTTCATGCTAGGGACCTTAAGCTTGATGTTGCAAGACGACAACCAAACTCGGTCACCCACTTGGTAGACCGGGTTGGCACTCCTACGCTTATCAGCAAAATGTTTGAAGCATTCAGCAGCAGCCCCCAGAGCAGTTTGAACCTTAACCCAAGTATCCCAAATAGAGGCAAGACGCTCATCCAGAGCAGGAATGGCAGTATAAAAAAAAAAAAAACAGAGGAAGAACCGTAGGATGCCTACCATTATTGACAAAAAATGGACTGTGCCCAGAGGAGTCATGAACAGCATTGTTTCTAGCGAACTCGGCCCACGGGAGTAGTTCAGACCAATTGTCCTGTGTGCTATTAACAAAAAATGCAAATAAACTTCTAATGACTGGTTAGCCCTCTCAGCTGTACCATTGGTCTGTGGATGGTAGGAGGAGGAGAAGCAGAGATTGTAACCGCAGGTGCTTCCCTTATTTAACACTATGTCTTAAAGCATAGAACTTAGTAGGCCTAACCATACAGATATCTTAGCCATATATATATAATTTTATATAGTTAAAATATATAAATAATTGAGAATACAATATAAAATAAGGATTGTCTTGGAAGCAATACAGTTTTGTCTTTTAGATATTTATTATATAAATATAGACATATAAAATCCATTACAAAACAGAGAGTAGAGTCAGCGCTAATCGGAAAGGCAGCAGTCCCAAACAAGGACTCCCTCAAATGTCCTTAGGAATAGATAAGCAAAAACAAATAGATGGGGTACTCTTTATTTTGTACATTGGCGCATAACCATCCCCCATCTATTTATATAAAATCCATTATAGCAGAGTTTATAAGATTAAATTACATGCTTGCAAATATCATTATTAGGTTAACATACCCTTCTGAACATGTCATCATGTCAGCCTCTCTGTCATTTTAAGATGGAGCAGTGTCTGTCTCCAAATCTCTCCTCTGTGTCTTAACATTTAAAAGTACACCTATTTATACCTTGGGTGTCTCCATTTTAGGGTTACCGTAGTTAATATATTAAAAAGTAACACTTCTTTTACTTTATTCATTTTAGGACCTCCCTTAATTTGGCAAACATACAAGTCCATAACTAAAGGGTGCAAACGTCATGGAGATTTTCCTGACTTGGCATCTTAAAGTCTGAATAGCTTATCTCTTGTATAGCAATAACCCAATGAGTGGCACTTAACAAAAATGACAAATACTCAAAAACACCTTTTGTGGATTTTTGCCTTTATCCCCACACAAACATAAACTTGTACATACGGTATAAGGTGGAGTATATGTACACAACAAATCTTCCAAAAGCAGTTGTAGTAAACTGGTCCTTATTAAAAAGGGGTTCTTCCAATAACAATAGTAATAAACTTGTCCTTGTAGGAGTATATTCTAAAATATAAACATAAATACAAAGAGATAGTGCAATATATGTGGAAGGTAGAACACTCACAAACGTGGAGCCAATATAGGGGCTCAAGAGAAGTGGCTCTGTGGGTGCTAAAGGGACCCACTTCATTCTTGTTACCGCCTGTGGTATTCAAAAATAGGATGTCCTCGCAAAATGTGATGAGGTAAAGTGCTTTATTACAAAGTGCACAACAAAATATAAAATATATAAAAACAAATAAAAGACCTTACAGTTCAGAAGGTATAGTCCTTATATAAGGTGCAAAACGCGTTTCACCTCTAATCAGAGGCTTCCTCAGTTGCTGTTCTATGTTTCCAGATGTATTCCTTTAAATGTCCTCCCCTTGGCGGTCTGTTTTCTGCATTTTTTATTCTATTCATAAACAGGGTTATACATAGGACACGAGGTCACACATTTAGGCTGGAAGAAAGGAGATTTCATCTAAGGCAAAGAAAAGGTTTTTTTACAGTAAGAAAAATAAGGATATGGAATTCTCTGCCTGAAGAGGTGGTTTTGTCAGAGTCCATACAGATGTTTAAACTGAAATTGGACAAATACTTACAAAAACATAACATACAGGGATATAATTTCTAATTAGTGGGGTAATAGCTGATTGATCCAAGGAGACATCTGACTGCTATTTTGGGGTCAAGAAGGAATTTTTTCCTAGTTTGTGGCAAAATTGGAAGTGCTTCAGACCAGGTTTTTTGCCTTCTTTTGGATCAACAGCAACAACATTTCTGAGGAAGGCTGAACTTGATGGACGCAAGTCTCTTTTCAGCTATGTAACTATATAACTATATAACTATATATATTGCACCATCCTACTGTGAACTGGCTATATTGCACTCTCTTTGTATTTATGTTTATATTTTAGAATATACTCCTACAAGGACAAGTTTATTACTATTGTTATTGGAAGAACCCCTTTTTAATAAGGACCAGTTTACTACAACTGCTTTTGGAAGATTTATTGTGTGAATAGCTTATCTGTTGTTTATATTAAGTCGTAAGTGCACAGTCGTGGGAGATTCCTGGATTTGGGGAAATTCCATTAACTTGGGGTTACCACAGTATATTGTGTACTGAAAGAGTCATAGTATAGCCTTGAAGCTTGTTTATGCATTATTGTTATTGTAATTCGCCTGGGACAAAATGGCGCAAACATATTATGCACTGAGGTTATTGCTTAAATAAACATCTATGAAAAACATATGTTCCATTTCTAACACCTTGTCAATTTGCAATATATCTTAAAGACAAAGTACACAGTTTAAGAAATACATTTCATTCTAAAACTTGTAATATTTGCATTTGCCCATAACACCCTCTCCATTAAACTGTGGGCTTTGCAGCGCATTTCTTCCTTAAATTAGTAAACCAAAGTTCTCCAACTGTCATTAGGTTTTTGTGCTCCCAGCATCTTTGATCATTGTTGTAACAGTATAATATCCATATAGTGTGATCTTTGCATGTAAAGGTGGTTGATTAAAATGAGCAAAGCTTTTGTCTGGGAAAGAATTGAAAAGAACACCAGGTTCCAGAGTAAGATATTCTTGGATAGATCCGATACAAAGTAGTAATTGTATTTGTAATCCAAAGTCTTTAAAGGCCTGTAGAAGTTTACATTCCTTAGATACATTGCTGGAGGTTGTGTTTGTAGAATACCCGGGTATTAGTTGTAGAGTATTGGTTGTAGAATCCAGCTATCCAAGTATTTGACTAGAAATGGTTGCAGATATTGAATCAGCATCATCTGTTATCACCGTGGTGATGGTGTTGGCATTTGACTTTGTCTTTGCTTTTTTTCTTTTTGTTTTTTTCCATGAAACATTTTTACACCGTTTATGATGTGTATAGATTGGATACTCTCCGATATTCTTTTACGGAATAAATTGACAGCATTTCCAAGACATTGTCTTAAGTGACATGGATCCCATTATAGTAAATGTTATGTTGATACAGCAATCGAAGTGGATACTCAAGAACGCCTCTTTTTGCTGTGTTGGAATCTTTGTAACATCTCAGTGATAGACATCTCACTGACATCAGGTGCTGTTGTGCTAATAATGTTAACAGGTAAAATCTGTGGAAAAATCTTTACATTTGTTATACTTTGTATAATAATGATAGATGAAATAGTAACATAGTTAATCTTTCTACTGTCTTGTATTAAAGATAAACACTCTTGTATGATTAGCTATATAAGAATAATTTGAAGCAGCAAAGTATTTACTGCCTTTGTTCACAATGGTATGTAAAATAGCATTCTCTTTAAATGTTAAAAATACTCCTTTATTCAAAATCTCTCCATATATTTAGAATAGTTGCTAATTGGAAATATGACATTAATTATCTTTCTTTGACTTGTTAGGGAGAAGACAACTGATTCCCTAATAACTACAGTTATTAGTGGCTTAAAATACCAAAAACACCCAAAAATTGACTTTAAAACTTTTTTTTTTTTTTTTTACCAAGATCTGACAGCCATTGTGGAAAGTCACGTTCGTAAAATTAGATGCTTAACAATGTGAATCTTAATTGTTTAAGTATATTTTTCAGTGGCTGTTGGGTGTGATTTGGATTTTTATTATTATTTCTTAAAGCGAGTTAAGAAAGCACTCAGATACAATATGGAAGGTATTTATATTTTAACTCTACCTTTGTATAAGTGGTTTTAACACTTTCATAACAATAGATATCAGAATCTGTGTCTTGTACTGTGAGGTGCTCTGATAGTCAGTCAGGTTTAATCCGTACCATGTTCCATCTTGAGAAACAGCTGGGTGTTGACAGTTATCAGCCTTTATTTCCTTTTCCGGTCATCTCCTGTCTGGAAACATAATAGCAATGTCCAGAATTAGCATAGCACTACTTTTCTGATAAACTATATGGCAAAGTATTTTCTTAATCACTTTTGTAGGTACATCCAAAGTCTTTCACAAGCATCTGTCCCGTCTTTTCCTGTTTTCAGCATGCTTTGCCATAATCGTTGAGTCCATTATTAGGATATGTAATAGTCCAAGCACATCTTTCTCATGTATAATCTGTTTTTGGAATGATCTCAATAGGTTCCTTGTGAAACACCAGTGTGGGTCACATTAGCAATCATTTCACTGTGAGCTGTGTCTCTCCTTTTGAGATGGTTCTTGGAGGTAATACTCACGATCACAGAACTTGTATAGTGTGCAGTCCGATTCAGTTCAGGTGCTTCCTGCTTGTTAACATAATCCCAATGCAGCTTTAAAATGACAGCTAGGGTTGATGTTATGATAATGCTGCAGATTGTAAGATGGAGACACCAATTTTCTAGCATCCTTTTGCGTGTATCTTTGCATTTATTTCTTACTGTATAAGATAATTCAGGTTCAGTCTGTTTTCTCCAGAGTCTTTCTTATAATGATGTTGATGATTCATTTTTCATTCATTCTATGTTAACTGTGAATGTATCACATCTGTCTCTTCATCCTTCTCCTTCACATTTGCAGGTTCAGATGTCAGATCGTGATTCAGTCTGTTACGTGGCTATGATTCTGGTGGCATTTCTGTCGTCCTCTGTTTGTTTTATCTTGTCATCTTTAACAGCATCCCTTGTATCAGTCAATGGTTCTGTGCACGTCCTGTTAGTATTTAGCAGGTTGTAAAATATCAAAACTTACTGTCCTCTGTTGGGTCTGATTGTTCTCTGTAGTAAAAGTTCTCGGAGTCACCCTCTCCAGGACAGACTGGCCAACGGTAAGAAAAAGTTGGTGGTGCATGGTGAAGTGGGCTGGAAAAAAAATTCCCTAAATTTCTCTAATAGAACCAATGGTTCTAAGCTTTCCCTGGTACAGAAATATAATTGTCAGTGAAAAAACATGTAACATTTCATATGGTGTCTCACCATTTGTATCATCAGGTATGTTGTGAATGCTCATATGTACCATAGGAATAAATAGATACCACTGTGTTGGGCAAGCAACTAGTAACTTGGTTAATAATCATTTAACCTCAGCATTCTCCCAGACCACAACCCCACTTCTTTGGGGGTGGTTGGGGCACTGAAATCCCAAAGTAACCCAAATGTGGTTGCCCAGTTTTAGGTTTCCTTTGTAGTAACTGCAGGACCACCATCCAAATGGATGGTCCTGGGATTATCAAATGCATACTAAGGAAGTGAGACTAGAAAACGTAGCATCAGAGGTTGCACTTCGCACAGGATATATCCAAGTAAACCTGGTACATGCATCAACACATACAAAAACATATTTATAAACACGAGATGTTGGCAAACTTCCAATATATAGTAATTCCAAAAAAGTATGTTAGATATTAATATTTCAATAAACAGTACATCAGTAATGCGGCAATAAGCAAATGCGTATGATTACTAAACACATGAATTACAGTATTTCCCATATTGGACCACCAATATTCCTTTTCACGAGTCTGAAGTACATTACCTCTCTCTATAAGAGCTTGTCCTAGCCATGAAAAAGCTTTTAGGGCAAGTCTATCTTTCTTTTATAGGAAGAACAACCAACATATTACCTTCAATGGTTATTATGTAATTAACCCCTCTAAACGATAGGAGTATTTATGTGGATACCAGGTGGATTATTTCTGGATATCCTTGCAAGCATAAACTCTGCATCATGACTGAGAGATACGGTATGCGATGTGATCCAGTGACCACAGAAAAGTGTAGACACATTGCATCAAAGTGCCTGTTAATGACCAACTATATGAGGAGAGGGACCATGCTTTGTTATAAGCATGTCCATACACGTATTACAATGCCAGGCTTTCAATTTGTTATCACAAAGCAAAATGCAGTTGTGGATATAAACTCACGATGTATCGTAAGAAAAACAGTTTGAACACCAGACTGAGACTCGAGATCAGTGAGCAGTGGACCAAAATATATAAATGAAATCCTACCAATTAATATACTTTCAATATACTTTCTTTAAATTACTTTATCCTCTGTAATAACTATGAAATATTAAAGTTAAAACAATAACATTTAAAAGCCAACTTTTAGTGTGGATAGGAATTACAAGGCCGTTCATATTGTGAGTAGTGATGTCGCGAACGTGAATTTTTATGTTCGCGAACGCGAACTTCGGCAAATGTTCGCGAACCGGGCGAACTGCCATAGACTTCAATGGGCAGGCGAATTTTAAAACCCACAGGGACTCTTATTGGTTGAAGGGGGGGGAGACCTACTCTCCTCCTCCCCCCCGGCCCCCACCCCTGGGCGGTGGGTGAGGGCCATAAAGATAATGAGGGGGGGGACCTACTGTCCCCCCCCGGCCCCCACACCTGAGCGGTGGGTGGGGGCCCTAATAACAATAAGGGGGGGACCTATTGTCCCCCCCGCCCCCACCCCTGCACGGCGGGTGGGGGCCATATTGATAATGAGGGGGGGACCTACTGTCCACCCCCTCCGGCCCCCACCCCTGGGCGGCGGGTGGGGGCCATAAAGACTAATGAGGGGGGGGACCTACTGTCCTCCCCACCCCTGGGCGGCGGGTGGGGGCCACAAAGATAATGAGGGGGGGACCTACTGTCCTCCCCCCTGGCCCCCACCCCTGGGCGGCTGGTGGGGGCCACAAAGATAATGGGGGGACCTACTGTCCTCCCCCCCCCGTTCCCCACCCCTGGGC